TGAACAGGGTAGGAGTGGGGCTAGAGCCCCAGTTTAGCCTAGGAAATCCTGGCCAAACTCTATGCATTTCAATTTGCATTATTTTATTAAGATAATTAATCAAATGGGCTTCTGTATTCAGTGGGACTATTTAAAAACCATTTTGATGCAAGTCCTTCTATTACAACATGTCTCAAGGTTCCAGCAACATTAATAAAACAACTGGTTGAAACAACACTCATTTATTATGACAGGAATTTCTGGTTCCTCTGAAGGGTAACAGATCAATCTGGCTTGCTGGGGAATTTTAACCTTACATTCAAACTACTTGGATTAATACCAATATTCATTACCTAATATAGATCCAAGTTAGAATAGCAATTCAATCACTTTAAAATCTTGTTAAATGCTAAATTCTGCATGGTAGAAATAGTTTAATTTCTGTATCATGTATAAATATAAAGATTCCTACTTTGATAGAAGGCAAATATCTTTTATGATTTATTTAAAATATGGAAGTAGTATTACTGAACAGAGAGTAAATCCATGAAAAAGTTGGATACTCCAAATTTATAGGCTCTTTGGGGATGAGGTAGAGGATAGCAAGATATTTTGGCAGCTGGGAAAGAGAGTAGAACAGTATGGGATGGACAAGATTACAATTAGTGCTGCTTAACATCTGGCGTCTTGGGTAAAGGTTAGCCAAAATAGATCTGGGTGGCTGAAGAATTCAGAGGGAGTCATGATAAAGCCAGATGGTTAATGGGTAAAAAAAAGTGAGAAAAGTGAATGCTGGTGACTATCTGCAGGTGGCTGGTGGTGTGTGATTTGGATTTTAAAAGGCATTCAGACCAGGTCTGCTAAGGGAAGGAGAGGATGGAGCTGGTAGAGGTTGAGGCACTTGGAAGAAGAGAAAGCAGGCAAAAAAGGGTGGACTGAATGCAGGTAGGAGCTCCCAGGTGAGAACTGTTTCCTTTCTAACAGGTGTGAGGAGAGTCACACACTCAGAACCACGTTCCAGGGGTTCTCACAGGGCTCGGCCTCAATGTATACCTCTACCTCTATGACCCATTTCACTCCAGCTCTTGTTGTTCTAGGTCTCACCTGAGCAGACACTGCTAATAAGACCAAATTAGCATTAAGGTAAGCCCTGCACACAGCGGGCATTTAAAATCTGTCGACTGAGGTGAATACATTCAGGTTACAGTACTGCTTTGAGGAAAGACTACTAAGTTTGATGCTCAGTCTCCAGAGGATATAAGAGGGAAACATAGTTTATGATGATGACCACCTAGTATAGGTTCTGATTATACAAATCACCTTAACTTAAAATTCTACTTGGACAGAGGAGCCACATATCTTTCATTTGCTGTTGAATTAGATATACTATTATGAAAATGTCATATATAGTTTATGTAACTTAAACTGTCTTTTGTATAATTTTTACTCTTTGCAAGACCGCCTATTTGCATAAAAAAAGAAAAAGTTCTCTTCGATATAAAGAAGAGTTTAAGGTCTTGCTTTCCAGAGAAATGATTTAGAATTGTTTTTAAAACACAACAATAACAACCAAAAAACCTCCAAAACAAAGTAAAAAACCTCATTTTACTATCACAGTGCAAATCATTTCTGTAATCTGCACTGAACGTTTTTCCCTGATGAATTGCCCTTAGAATTTATCTTACTCTCATATATGCATGCATTCTAAACTAAAATGGAACTATCTTAAGTAGGTAATTGTAACTGTTGATAATTTTGTTGTGGCATAAGAAGGTAAGACAGGATTTATTTTTTTCTCTCTTCATATTCTGTAAGGTAGAAAAGGAAAAATGTTGCCCTGCAATAATTTAGAATCTTTAGGAGCTATTAAACACAAAGTAGACATCTGGTTCAAATATGATCTTACTATAGAGCTTAGCGTGAGTTTTCTATTCTAAATCAGCCCTGTGGTGTTCTGCCATCATCTGGCATTTAAAGCCAAAATCAAAGGGCAAGGCCATGACCCATATTCCATGTTAGCATCTTTTGTTTTAAAAAACCTCCCAAATGGGACAAAGAGTGAGTGTTCCTGAGACTGAGACAACATACTTAGTTCAAAAAGGTGAAGAAAGTAGTAAGCAGTCCTGTCTCAAACCGCTTTCCTCTCATTCTGAGGAAGCCTGGCGCCAAGGACCCAATGAGGCACCTGCCTGGCCACACTCAAGGAAGTGATCAGGTGAGAGGACAGATTTACTCTCAGATGGGAGAGAGAGTACTCAGATCTGAGAAATTAAGAATTACAACTAAAGCTGGTAAAGTTGTTAACCCAGCAAGAAAAAGTAAATAGACACTACTCAGTGGAATACCACACTAATCATCACATATAAGCAACAAAGGGACAGGATTCACATTCACATGTGCTTTTTTGAACGTACATTTGCACATTTAAATTTGGCACGATGTGAGCCCAAGGCGTAGATTAGCATCTTGTTTAATCATATTGTTACACCAATTGAACCAGATAGCTCTTTTAAAAATATCACATTTGAATATAAAAAGCTATACTATAAATTACTACATAGTAAATTCAATACTCTGAAAAAATACCACCCTGGAAAACCGCATCAGAACTTCAAGTTTGCATTAGATAAAGCAAGTTAACAGCAAACTCGTTGCAAAATGGTCTTCGCAACCTGGAATGCTGTGCACGCTGCATCTTAGGAGGTGCTCAAGCACTTTCAGAAGTCATTTTTTTCTAGGCTGGTTCACTGAGGTTCACAAATACATTGTTTTGTTGTTTTATAGTCCAAGTCAAATTATTTCCCCAATTATTCATAAGATAGACCAATGCTGAGCTAAAAAGAAATGTGGCTAGGAAAGACATTTAGTAAAGGCACTAATATTTCCACAACCTAAACTTTAAGCACTTTTATTTCTTGGGGGAAGGGAAGATATTTTAAAAAGAAAAAGCTAAGTGGCCATTTTAGTTTCTTGAAACCTTGTTTCCCATTTTGGTCTAAAGCTCATATGGTATTTCTGTGAGAATTTATCTTCCTTGTCATTACACTAAAATCACTTTTCATCCTGTAATACAGTTCACCTGCACAAGAACATAGGTCCATTAACTGAAAGAGTGCTAATTAAAAAAAAAAAAGAACAAAAGATAACTTCAGCTTGAAAGTTCTAAAGTTAAGGAGGTCCAACAGACTTTCACGTTGCTAACTATGTTCTGCCATTCTCCTAATACATCTGTCATGTGCTATTGGATCATGTCAACACATGGTATGTACAATGAACAAAACAGAAGAGATCTGGTACAAGTTCTTTGAAGACTCTCTTTCACTAATCTACCCTGTCTTCATAAACATCAGTTAATTTCTTCTCTTATGCGGAAGATTTCAAATATGCACCTGGGATCTAAAAACCCTTAGAACTACCTTACAGTAACCAACTTACAGTCATCTTTTTTGCTTTCTTATCTGGAGTAAGCTCTACAAGAAAGCAACCTAATGGACTGTACCAGAAATGGATGATAAATGGAAGGGGGAAATGATTCAACAGAACATTCGTTCACCCTTCTTTCAGGAGAGGAAAAAGTCTAGTAATGAGGAAGTCTGAAATGAAATCTTAGATCTTTTTAACGGAAAATTTAAGCTATATTATTTACTATGGGGAAAATGGTCTGTTTTAAAAAATTAGCATGCACGTGTAAAATTCAAGTTACCCTTAATTAACCAAAAAGTGTTTAAGCAGTGCAGTCGCGTCCTACTGGATAGCTGTGCGCTTCTCTCCAGGCACTTCACTGGTTCATTAACATAACAAATTAAAGCTATACACACAGAATGTTGTGCTCTCTGAAGACAGTCTAATCAAGTAACAAAAACCAATGCAAAAATGTGACTTTTTTTGGCCGCTTATCCTTCCCCTAGGACTAAATAATTTTTTTTTAAACTAGATGCCCAAAAAGGTTTTTCTGGGGAAGGAAATGCTTTGGCATTATGAAAAGAAACATTGTTCAACCCAGTAAAGTAGGCAAACCATTTAAAAATACACAAACCCTTGTGCAATAAAGAAATTTGAACAAAATTTCTTTATGGCTATGTTTGGAAGGACACTTCTGCAGTGATAGAATAGGGGGGAAATTTAGTATTTCTTTTAACATATTGCACGCATTTTTTTTGTTGTTGTTCAATCACACTAATGCATAGAAACACAATGTTCATCTTTGAATTATAAACTGCTTAACCTATTACAAGAAGGAAAATCATGGTAAATAATGTCTAAAAGCCTAACAGGAAAAATATAGTTACAGTAACCTTCCTTTGCTTACTGCAATATAGAAAAGACAAAACAAAAACAATGATAAAGGAAAAATGTGCAAAGAAACTTTTTGGTCAGTTTTGTGTGGGTGCAGATTGACTTGTGCCAACTGAGCGAACCGCGAGCAGCACTGGGCCTCTGACGCCTGCCTGCAGATGACTGAGGATGACTGTTAGTGATAGGAAGGATTGGGCATCATTCCACTTTTAATATGTACATCTGACATGGAAAACCGAAACTTCTGTTTCCGAAGAGAAAGAAAATAGCTAAATTTGGTATTTCAGTAGCATGCTATAAAATTCATCATGATTAATTTCACATTAAATTATGGACAATGGCTGTATCACATTTCACGTTATCGCCAATAGCAGTAGGGAAAAAAAAAAAAGAAAGAAAACAAAACCAAACCCAAAACAGTGCCTGACAAATAATCTCTTGGGGTCACACACGTGCCCCCTGAGCAGCTTGGATCAACGGCGCATGCTTTCCCTCTACCAGATTTAGGACACAACATGGAAACTTTAGAATGGCTCGGGGTGGGGGCCATTCTGTGCTGAATTCCAACATTGGAAAAACAATTGCTTGACCAAATTATTAAGCGCTTTTTCTTAGTTATAAAAAAAAAAAAGAAACAAAAAACCCCCATACAAAAATAACCAAAGAAGGAGGGGGAAGTACACGTACACACAAATCCAAAAGCGCCAAAGTTAAGCATTAACAAACCAGGTTCATGATTTATGGTCAGTATCCAAAAATCCAACTATAAACAATGCAAAGTAGTGCTCCTCAGTATTATTTTTGCAGTTGTTAGTAATGTTAAGCATCAAGAAAAAGAAAACATGTCATTGCACATTACGGCCGCAAAAAAAAAAACAACCAAACAAACAAAAAAAACAAAACCGGCTAAACTTTGACAACAGAGAATTGGATAATTTTTGATGCTACATCACAAACAGCTTCTGATGTGTATCTTGTGTGAAAAGGTCTTTACACATGTATGACACTCTCCCTGGGTGAGGCTTCAGGTTAAATGCCGAGTTATGGCACGAAGAGCATAAAGAAGTTCAGCTTGCATCCGGGCTTCCATTAAAAGCAGATTCACATGAACCTAGAGATAAAAAGGCCAGTTTAGTAAATATGACAAACAACTTTGATAATTTTTCATATACAAACATATACAAAGTTTCTTCATGTGTATACACAGAGAACAAACACAGATGCTGAGACCCACATATGCACGGACACGATAAAAGGGCTCACAAGAATCTGTTGTTTAAGTTCATTTAAAAAAAAACAAAACCTTTGTTAGCCACAGAAACAGCCTCCAAAGCCTAAAAGCCTCAATATTTTAAATACACAGAGCTACATGGTGCCCTTTCATTTCTTTAATATAGTACTAGAATGTTGATATAAACGAAGCACATTTTTTCATAATCATTATCTCTTGTATTGAGCACCTATCCAGGTATAGTAGTATTTAGTTAGGAAGTATTTACCTTTTCTGAGTGTTTGAATTGACGCCAGTAACTATCATACATGCGCTTCGTTGTTCTCTCAGGATAGCAGGTCACTGTCTTAATGTAAACCTTCAGGCTTCGTTCAAGTAATTGATTAACTTCTCCATAATCATAGTCATCATACCTAGTTAAGTAGTAAAACAATTTCATAATGACACAATCAGAACTTTTCATTTATGAAGTGATAGCAAGAGATATTTATTGTCAAGTAATTAAATACTAAAAAAGCCACTAGTTAAGTAATTTAACAAATACTTCATGAATGCCTACTATGTGCCAGGTACACTTCTAGGCACAGAAACATGATCATCAGCATACAAATCAGACAAACAACAAAAAAACCACCCCACACCATGGTGTTCACATTCCATTCAGGTAAAATGAATTAAAAATACATAAGACAGTGATCAGCACTATGGAGAAAAGGCAAGCAAGCCAGGGGGAGGGGGGGGAGGGGATGTGAAAGGAGACTAAGGTCCACCTGATCCAGGCCACAGTCTTTACAATCACTTGCTATCCATCAGAAAGCTGGACAGTCACTAAGGATGACATAAGAAGAACTGATGCTTTTGAGCTGTGGTGCTAAAGAGGAGTAATGAATATATCATGAACTGCTAAGAGAGCAAACAGGTCCATCCTAGAGAGGGTAAAACCTGGCTGCTCCTTGGAAGCAAGGATTCTGAAACTTGATTTGACATACTTTGGACATGTTGCAAGGAGGGGCCAGCCCTTGGAGGGACAACATGCTTGGGAGGGTGGAGGGACAGCTCAAGAGAGGAAGAGCCTGGATGAGAAGGATTGACTCAGTGACTGGAGTAATGGGAATAGATGTATCAGAGATGATGAAATTGGCTCAGCATAGAGCAGGGTTCAGAGCTGTTGTACAAAGGGTCGCTGTGAGTCGGAGTTGACTGGACAGCACAACAGTGCTGCTGTGAGGGCAATTTTGAGTGACAATAAAAAGAGTGCTGCTGTGAGGACAAATAAAATAAAAACTGACGTGATGAGTGTAAATAGCCATGAGCAGGTCACTGGCAACCTCAACAAGAGCAGGTTTATTGGTGTGAAATTGCAGCAGATTCAAGAGAGAATGGGAAATAAGAAAATAAATGGCGTCAGTTCAACATATTCACCTTTGTTTTCAAAGAGATTTGCTACACAAAGAGGTAGGTAAAAAACTGGTAGCCAGAGAGAAAATGGATGAAGTAGCAGTATTTTTTTTGGTTGGTTTATGTTTTTTAATGAGAAGGGTCCAATGAAGAAAGTAAAGCACGCAGGGGAAAGAAGTGAGACTTGCTGGAAGAGAATGCTGTAAAAGGTAAGTTTTGAGCAGAAGTAGCAAAGAACAGACACTCGTCAATAATAACAGAAGATGCGGCACTGTTGGTGGGCACAGAGCCAGGTAGCTGGGTAAATTTGCTGCTAGGAGTTAATGCGGAAAGTTTTAAATGTAATGCTGATTACTGTTTTAAAAAAGTACACTGGGGATCTTATATACGCTTTATTTAGTAGTATTCAACAGATAATAACAGAGCACATGTCTTATTTTATTACCTTAATACAATATATAATTATTGCAATTACACAGTAAATTCTACTAATGTTGGCTAGGCATAACATATGCTTCTAAATGTGATGATTCTGTAATAATTTGTTCTCTAGCATGCATGGCACGTAACCAATAATATATATAATTATTATGCACTATCATAATTGTGTTTTTTAGAGAGAATGATTCATTGTTAATTGATTAGGTAATTTTGAGATTACGCATTTAAACTTGAAAATGTTCTGCTTAACAATTTGAATTCTATTCTGTAAAGATGTTAGACCCATTAGAAGTGATACAGTGAACAGACAAGTTGAATGTATGCATAACTAGAAATTTTCTTTCTGTAAATTTATCTCCATAAAAACCTTGAAAGTGTGGTTTAAAAGGCACATTATCCAAAAAGAACTTCCCTGATGAAACCATCCTGTCTCATTCACTCTTATTCTGTCCGCTGAATGCTAATCTTTGAAATGTAAAGGCCACTCATTGCTATTGATTGATATATTCTGTTTCCGTATTCTTACGGGATGATAAAGCACACAAGCCTGGAAGGCAGAATGGATCCCAGTTTTGCAGAAACTCTGCCATAACTTCAAAGATTAACGGGGCAGGGGACTCCTACGAAACAAACTAGAATTTATAGAAATTATCTAAAGGAATGCAATACATGGCTTTTAGCTGACCTTTCCTTTCAGAAAGGACTCTCAAATTGAACCTGACTCTTATCTCCAATGATTTCTCCTTCAATATATTCTTACTGCTCTATATACTCATGCAGCAGCAGTATTAAGATTCACAACCTTTAACAAAGAATAATGCTTTTCTATATAATGTAATATTTTTTTTCAATGCAAAGTCCACATGCAACATTTTCTCCTTTGAATGGAATCCCCTAAAGAAGAGGTGAATAGGACGTATGTTGGAGCTGCCATCTGGAATTGTCTCCACATTGAGCGTACCTGATTCCAAACATACAGTGGACATAGTTAAATAAAGCTCTGCGCAGCATGGTTGTGTCAACATCCTCATGGGTGGCCATAGTGTTATAGGTGAGACTGTAGACCATGCGGAACTTTTCGTCAAGAAGATGTCCAATGTCAGAGTAAAGTCTGTTCACCAGGGAGAAGCCATGATTTTCCCAAGTATAGTCCTAAAAGAATACAACTCATTCAGTTGTAAAATGAACATTCTTCATTTAAATTCTTTGTTTTTGTTAAAATTAACTGCTGAAGCAAGTGAGACTATTTCAAATTCACATTCTAGGTTTAAGGCTTCACTAAGAGTCTTTCATACAAGTCAGCTGACTGGAGGGCCATGATATTTCCTCAGAGGGGTCTAGAGTTTGGCATGCTTGCTATGAACTCTGGCCACCTCTTACGGTCAGGGACTAAATACATTGTGTTCTGTGGAAGGACCCCAGAAGAACATCCCTATGTGATTAAACTGACTCAGTGATGCAAGTAGTTAGCAGCAAAGTGTCCAGGCAAACAAGTGAATGTCTTAACAGAAACTATACCTTCTCTAGAAGCGACATCACTATTTGGCTATCTTTTTTAGGGTGTTTTAAGTCATGCATATGCTTTATGTGTAATAGATACAACAATAGCATTTATTCCATAGTTTCTCTGAATTAAACACATCTTATATCTGAACTCAGAATGTTGGCAACTGCTTTTTTCCTCATCTGACACAGTTCTTAAAGACTGCCTTATTGGTGTATGAGATTATTACAAATGCCTTTTTATTATAGCTGTGAAGATATCTCTGCAGGTGCCACCCCCCAAATGAGAATGAGCATTATAAAATGGCCATCTAATAATGCAAGTCTCCTAATACAACTGTTTCCTTTTACTTCTGAGGGAGAAATGTGCTGGGCATCAAATTAGAGCAGGCTACTAAGTTTAAAAGAGTAGAAAGTCTATTAAGTAGACTATCAAGTTGATAATTTTTTTCACTTGTCTCTGACGCGTGACAGCCCCCTCTGCTCATGACAGAGCAGAACTGTAGTGGGGACTTTCTTGGCTGTACTTGTTACTGAAGGAGACAGTCAGGCCTTCCCTGTGGGGCACTGCTATGTGAGCTCAAACCTCCAATGACTAGGCTGGTATCTGACTGCAAACTGCTGGCACTACTCAGGGACTATTCCTTTAGAAGATGTTTTCTCTACGTTTTAATATTTAACAGTCAAAATCATGGTATTTATTCTTAGTGTCTCTGAATTAAAAATATTTTATACCTGAGCTCGGAATGTTGGCAAATGTTCTTCCCCTCGTCTGGCAAAATCCTCATATCCAAAACCAGGGTCTTCAATATACCGAGAGACATCAGCTGTTATAATCATGTCGTCTTCAAAATCTAAGGGCCAAAAGGAACACTGCAGTGTTAAAGGACTAGTACATGGGTAAGACAATAAAATTAGCTCTCTTTCCCTCACTTTCTAGCTTTCTCTACATATGTCTGCAGTTATAATACTGATTACTCAGGTGCAGTAAAATGACCCCAACTCTTGGTGATTTCACGTGCATCGGAGCAGAAGTGATTCTCTCAGGTTTTCAGTGGCTGATTAAGTGAATGTGGATTGCCAGGCCTTTCTTCCTCAGTGCCTCTGGATGGTCTTCAACCTTGAATCTTTTAATTAGCAGCAGAGCGTGTTAACCATTTATATCACCCAGGGACTCTGACAAATATTGGTTACATGGCTTACACTCATAAAATTGGTGACATTTGAAAGTGAATTAATTATCAAATGTTGGCAATATCTAACAAATAATCACAGTCATTCAGGAAAAAAAATTAGTAAACTGAATGATCTAAAGCATAGCTTAGGATCAATTTACTAGTTTTAGTAATACAGCAAGGAACAAACACATAAGCTTTTAAGTAAAATGTCAGACAAATTTTATTCTCTCCAGGAGGAAGAAGAGGGTTGTGGGGAAAGAGGAGCAATGAAAGTGAAAGAGCACTTTAATTAAGTCTAATTTTCGGGAAGATGTTAAAGTCACTGACATTTTATCCGTGTAGTCAGCGTAAAAACAGAACTTACAGCTCAATAGCTCTTTTTTACTGATAAAAGAAGCAAAGAAAAGGGATGAGGGGAGGAGGGTGGGTTTTGGGGGCTATGACTCATTTTCCCAACTGACGTGCATGCCAGTTACACATGAAGATTCACGGAGTTGTACATATGCTGAGTTGTGTGCTGAAAACAAGCACAATTTTCTATATGCACATTTCAATAATGTAAAAAAAAATGCAATAATTATGAAGAAAATATACTTCTGTTAATTCATCTGAAAAGAGCTGGTAGAATTAGTTTCAAAGACTGTGGAAATATTTATATATTAAAGTTACTTAAATTGACCTGAAGCTTTTAAATTACCCTTGTATTTATTTAAATTACTTTATCATATTTAATTTTACTCTTTCATGCAAATTCTATTTTTTTCTCACAAGATGTCATTCTTTCCTTAAGTTGTTGACTAACTGGGATACTTGATAATAACAGAGAAGATCAAGTGCCCAGTCTACTTAACTTCAGGTAAATCACCTTAAAATTCTTACTTAACATCCTTCATATATATATATATATATATATATGATATTAGCATTAATTGAGTTACACATCAGGGTCAGTTTGTGAATCAATGAGTTTTTGCATTTTTTTTAAGATTTGTGCTCTTTTATATGTTTATAAAGTATTTCAATAAGAGTTAAAACAAAAACACCATACAACGATCCTTCACTTGTCAACAAAGTTAGGTTCCAAAAGGCATTCTGTGGAAGCTGTCATGTAAAAACAGAGGATGACCATATTCAGATCACAAATGGAAGATGATGATATCATTACAGAACCCTTATCTAACTGTCCAACCACTGAGAATCAGAGAAATATGGCCCAGCCATGCTGACGTTCTACATTAGCCACCACAGCTGGTGTTATTCCCAGGTCACACAATGGTATTCATTAATGCCACACATGAATCATCAATGCACAAAAGAGCTTTTTTTTTAAAAAAAAATCTAGTATCTGCAAAATTTTTGATGAGATGGTTGGAAAGCGAGGACTAGGTGACTATTCGATAAACAATGTTCTAAAACAAGAATGTGGCATTAAAAAGTATTATGCCATGCACTTAATATTTTTTACTTTTTTTGCTTCATTAATACAAAAAGCATTATCTACTTAAAAAAATTAACTGAACTAACCATAAATTACCAATACCACTGACAATAAGGAAGAAATACAGATATTGTGAATTAGTTTGAAAGAGTATGGGAAATATTTCTATGTTAAAGTTACTTGAATTGACCTGAAGCTTTTAAATGACTTTCATTTCTCGGAAGAGAAAGCTCAAGTGCATTTCTAGTTCTGTCCCACAGTAAATTTCATTTTCTTCTTGTATTTTACTATTCAATTCAGGTAAAAAGAATTACTTTTAAATTTGCTTTTTGATTCATTACCTTTTAACATTCATAAAATAGTTTATTCTTTGCTTAATTCAGTCCATCAATAGAAATGAAGAAAAGAAAATGTTGGTGATCAACAAGGCTGCTAGAAAAACTTGCTTTGTGGGCTGCAAAGCCAAATTAAACCAAGGACAGAGTGTAATAGTTAAGCTTTGTTCAAATCAATCCTTCACAGAAAAGATAATTTCCTGTCCTGAATAAACAAATGTTTCCATTTGGTAATTGTTGATTATGGAGTTGAATGCAATCCGAATTCTATACTAGGCCTTTTCCATACTGGACGTATTGCAGACATGGAAACCTAAAATGCCCAAAATATGGCAGGCTGCATGTTCTTTAAGGTTAAAAAAAGTCACAATGATAAGACCTCTGCCTACCAAACAAGTTCCTACTAATATTTACTTCTTAATTTATGTTCTTACAACACAGAACAACTTATTCTGCACACAGAAACTTGTAGACTTAGCACCATGCCTTTGCTCAAGCATGGAAGCTGGCTAATACTTCTGCTCCTAGCCTGGCTTCCTGCTACCCAACCTTTAAGACTTAGCTTAGCCTTTTTCTGTCTGGAGGTCTAGTGCCCTACTAGTAAGAATCTGTGCTGCCAATCCAAAGGTACCTGGTTTGAATCCATGAGCTTCATTCCATGGAATAAAGATAGGCAATCAACACCCGCGAAATTTATGGCCTCTGGTCAGCTATGAGTCAATTCCAACTTGACGGCACACAACAACAGTACACTCTCCTGCTCCCCACAACCGAAAACTGGTATTTACAAACTTTTACCATTCTGCTACGTGTTAGAATTGGTTTTTCTCTACCACTAATCAGAGAGTCTTATCTAGACTTAAACTCTTTGTACCTACCAAGTGCTCAGACTATATTGGGTGGTGCTCAATAAATGCTGAATATTAAACCAATAACTAAAATACCAAGTTTCTTTATTTGCAATATCCTGCTGACTAGAGGAACTGACTTATAGCTATAATAGTTTTCAATGAATTAAAAAAGCTATCGCTTAATAAAAGCAATTTAGTAATGAAAATCTTTCATAAAGTATATTTAGAAAATTACAAAAATGCTTCTTATTCTTTCTGGTTAAACGTTTTAGAGCTATTAATTAATATATTTAAGTTACCAAATAAGTTATGGCCTATATAATTAGCTGCAGAATTTATAAGAATTACCAGCCTCAAAACAGTAATGTTAAAGTCCTCTTTTAAAATTCTACTTGAAAAGAAGTCTTATTGACGGCTTCAATGAGTTTAAGCTTATAAATTTATGCTTTTTAGTAACTTAGTATTCAAGATACCAATTTCAATATTTATTGATGATAATACTTTTAATTATAATTTGTAAGAGTAATAGAAAACCAATGTTTTAAAGATTAGAGCAAAAAAGAATAATTTATATTATTAAAATATCAAAGGTTTCTCTAGAGAAATACAAATCTAAGTGCAAGATAATGTAATTTTAGAGCTAACATAGCAAGGCTATAGTGTGAGAATAATCCCAATTCTGAAAAAAAAACGAAAAGTGGATTTGTGCACACATGTAACTGTAAAATCAACATGCACGTAAGTGGGCATGTGGTGGTGATTCTAATCGACTGCTTAAAGCATACATTGGATTGGTGAGAAAATACCTGGTGCCTCTTTTCTCTTATTATACAAATATTTTTCAAGTTATATATACTAAAACAGGATTATACTTATCTTTAAAAAGTTACAAAAGTTGGATGAACTAAGTATCTCTATTTAACCTTTTATTCAATTGGTCTGTTTTGCCTAATATATCATCAAGGGTAGAATAGGAATTACGTGAATTAACCACAAAGCTGGAAGTTCCTCTCACCTGGATCTGAAAGACAAAGTTACAACAGCCTGAGAGAGAAAGTACTAACAATAGGACAGAGAAAAGAAGAGAGCTAAGTTAGACAGGAGTAGACTCATTTTACCAATCTACCTGGCAGTATTACTGAAGTGGGTTCTACTAGAGGTCTCAGAAAAAACAGAATGCGAAGACAGTAAAAACAATCACCTGAATGAGGAAATGAGTGGAACGTATCTCCAGAAACCACAAACAGACTTTCTTTCTTCTCCTTCTCAAAACGAGTGGTCATTTCTTCCTGAGAGGCCTCGTCATCTTCTCTTTCTTCTTGAAGTCTTTTCATCCTTTCCATTAAGGCCTCTAGCTCACTTAGTGAATCCACAATCTGTAAACACATAAAATAATGTTGGGGATTATTATCATTAAAAATTGTTCCAGTAAATGTCTCCATTTCCTCATGTCACTTTATTACAGAAAATGGAGTGGGCACAGTTATTATGCTTTTAAGTGGATTTTTTACTGACTTCAAACAAAATCATATGACAGATTGAAACATTTTTAAAAGGGTAATGCTTTTGCTTCAGTAATAAATGCAGAAATTGTAAAACTAACTTGTAAGTGCAGATATAGAATTATAGCATTAGAGTTTTAAAGAAAATTAGGCAACCTAACATGTTTTACTTCCTACTGTAATAAAAATATATTTTCTAATAGTTGTTTTAGTATCTTATAGACATGAGCACATTGTTCTGGAACTTTCTGTTCAATGGGTAAAAAGCCTGTAATCACCAGAATGCATCATTGTTTTGGTCTAGATAATTAGCGCTAATATCTATTCAATTTAAAATCTTCTTTAAGACAAACCAGAACTTTAGGTACTAGTTAAACTTTGCCTTCTAAAAATACGAAAACGTTTGCATTCTGGTTCATCCATCTAAAAATGATGAGATGGTATATGTTTCTTTGTATATGCATATATATATGTATCACAATAAACATTGTTTATAAAATGAGTACAGATACATACTGTTAATTAGAGGAATAAGTTCCTTCTATAAAGCTGAAATAGTAAAGAAAACATAATTGTTTTGATTTTTTAAAAAAAGCTATGTAGTTATTTGGATATTTTGGTGTGTGTGTGTTTTTAAATAAAAATAAGTCAGGAAAACAAACCCCAAAATTGCCGCCTGTAAGGGACGCATTCTCTATGTTGTTGTCATTGGCAAGATCACAAACGCAGAAATTGTTGACTGATATTAGCCTGAATCCATTGGAAATGTCTGGATCTCTCTCTGGATTGATGCCACTACCAAAAACAAAGCTTGCCAAGGCATGATAATGTGTCAGTAGGACCACAGCATGTACCAGTTCTGGCAGGGACCAATTATTTTCTCCAGTTTTGACAAGTTTCTGAAATGAGAAAGCAAGTGAAAATGTGAAACTCATAGATGTTAAAAAAAATGAATATAAAAGAATCCTGAAAGGAAAAACCTATCCATTTTTATATCCCAGTTATGGTAACAAACTTAAAATGCCCTTTGAAAAACTTTTTCCACATATTAAAGATAAGGCTTTGCTCAAATAAATCTATATTAAAATTATCAACCCTGATAATATAGTTAAGTGTGCATCTTTTATTAAGTCTCTTGTGTGTATGTACAATAGAACTTTTGCTTCTAAATTATCTTCACATATTATGCAATTAAAAGAAGATGTTTGACTCAATCATAAAACATTGAGTTTAGAAGAGATTTTAAAGATTATATAGCAAAACCTTTAATTTTTGCTTGAAGATTCTTAGAAATTTTGTGCCATAAAAAATTCTAATTTAGTAAGCCAAATTTAGATATTCTCTCTGATGGAAGAAAATAAAATATTACAGTAGATGGTGGGAACTGTGTAATATGACCTCACATTTGAATTAGAACTTAAACATTTCAAAGCATTATATTTGAATTCATGACTTTTTATAAAACTCGCATAAATCTTTACAAAAGGACTAGGAAAACCTAATTTCTTACTCCATGTACTTCCCCATATCTCTTTATTCATTATAATCAGACTTCTTTTTCAGGCAAATTCCTAAAGTTATATTCATTAAGGTCATGTATACTCTCTAAATGGCCAATTCATTTATTTTTAGTCCTTACCCTATTTGATTTCTGCAGAGTGTGCCCCCCACCCCCACACCCTATCTGTGTATGTACTCTGTGTTTTGCGTGTGTGTTATTATGTCTGTCTCCCACTTTTTCCTTTCTTGAAATTAATCTCCTTTGACTTTGGCAAGCCCACATTTTTAGAGGATCTCCTTCTTGCCCCAGGCTGGTTCTTTTCCCATCATCCTTGCACCTTCTTCCTCAATTTACCTCCAAAATCTTGCCTACGCTATTCATGATGTTCTTTGTTCATCCAGTACCTCTATGGCTAGATCACTCATTTCTTCAGTTTGATCTTTGCTTACTTATCAGTAACTAGTCAATTTTTGTTTTCAGGGTATTTTTTATCTTGAGCTACAGACTTCTACTGAGAGCTTCTGTAACTGGACATTCCGACCTGGAGTCATTCTCTTCTGTTCTCAGGCTGGATTAGTTCTTGGCCATGACACTCCCGTTTGCCCATGCAGCAAGCTAGACACCTTAGGAGGCATTCTCTTGTGCATTCCTCTCGCCATCCTCACATCCTGTAGGTCAGTCACCAGTTCATGAAGAATTAACCTTCACATCTGATTTTTCCTTTATCTCCTCATTGGATTTTTTTTAGAAATAATTTCTCAGGTGGGTAACTGCAACTATTATTATAACTATTTAAAGTCTTTTCCATTTGTCATTTACCTTGATGATCACAAAAGCTACAAGTCTGCTCAAGAGCCTTTAGGGATGCTTTTTAAAAAAATGTTTTTTTAAATTTTATATTGGTTTATTTACAAAGTTCAAATACTACTTTTTTACATCAGATCTTTCCCATTCTTTCTCCCTTCCCCCTTTTAGTGATTCTCTATTATAGTGATCTTTTGATCACTCTATATTCTATATATATTCCAAGGAAAACAATTACTACAGATTATTTTATTTTTTAAATTGTTTTATGGTTGTTTTTAATGAAATAAATTCTTATTTTATACTAGTTTGCTTACCAAATTCATATGCATCATTCCTCACACTATCTTCATTCACACTGTGTTTCATACAATTATTCTCATTCATTATATTTTATAAAATTAATCAACATTGAAATATGCCCACTATTGCCCTGTGTTCCAGATTCTCACTGGATATTTCCCACATTCTTTCCCCACTCCTCCCTCTACTCATCAAATTATATGACCTAATAATTATACACCTGCCCGTGCTCACCCTTTTTCTCCCTTGGAGACTAGTTTTACTAGTAAACATACATTATTTTACATACAACAGTTATACACCTGTATTAGTAATACAATTATAAAACACTCAAACTGAGAAACTGAAAAATGTAACATAAGAATGTATACACGTATATACACATATCTTTTCTAATATTTTGAAAGACTGTCTTATGCTCTCCCTGGGATATGTACGATAACATAGCTCTGGAAATCACAATTCTCTGAAGATAAAATGTTAATTTTTTAAATACAGTGTTCATTGTTGTTGTTGTTGTTGTTATGTGCTGACGAGTTGCTTCCAAATCATAGTGACCCTATGTACAATAGCCCTATATCCTGCTCTATCATGTGGCAATCTTATTGTCTCTGACACACTTACCCCCATTATTTCAGTCACTGAATCAATCAATCCTACCGAGAGTCTTCCTCTCTTGAGCATTCCCTCTACCCTCTCAAGCATGACATCCTTCTCCAAGGACTGGTCCCCCCATGCAACATGTCCAAAGTATGCCAGACGAAGCTTCAGAATCCTTGCCTCCAAGGAGCAGCCTAGTTTCACCCTCTTTAGGATGAACCTGTTTGTTTTCTTATCAGTCCATGGTACATTCAATACTCTTCTCCAGCACCACAGCTCAAAGTCATCGATTCTCCTTTTACCATCCCTAGTCATTGTCCAGCTCTCTGATGCATAGCAAGTAATTGTGATGACTGTGGTCTGAATCAGGTGGACCTTAGCCTCTGGACTGACATAGCTGCTTTTCAGTACTTTTGAAAGCTCTCTGAGAGCAGACTTTTCCAATGCAATTTGTCTTTTAATTTTCTGGCTGCTGATACCAAGAGTGTTGACTGTGGAGCCAAGCAAACTGAAGCTGTTAACAATCTCAAACTCTTCACTGTCTATCATGATGCTGCCAATTGGCCCTGTAGTGAGAATCTTTGTTCTCTTGATGTTGAGCTCAAATCCATATTGATGGTTGCAGTCTTTGACCTTCGCAGCAAGCACTTCAGGTCCTCCTCAGTTTCAGCAAACAAGGTTGCGTCACCTGCGTAACTCAGATTGTTGATGACTCTTCCTCCAATCCTGATGCCACATTTCTCCTCATAGAGCCCAGCCTTCCAGATAATCTGTCCTGCATATAGACTGAAAAGATATGGAGATAGGACACATCCCTAGAATACACCCTTCCCAATTTTGAACTATGTAGTGTTTCCTAGCTCTGTTCTGATGACTGCCTCCTGGTCCATGTATAGGTTTTACATAAGCACAATCAAGTGTTCTGGGATTCCCATTCTTCTCAGAGACAACCACAGTTTATTGTGATCCACACAGTCAAATGCCTTTGCATAGTCAATGAAACACATAAAGATATTCCTTTAGTACTCTCTGCTTTCAGCCAAGATCCATCTAACACTAGCAATAATATCCCTGGTATCAAGGCCTCTTCTAAATCTAGCCTGCACTCTGGCAATTCTCTGTTGATACACTGCTCCAGCTGTTTTTGGATGATTTTCAACAGAATCTTGCTTGCATGTGATATGAATGATATTGTTTGATAATTTCCACACTCTGTTGGGTCACCTTTCTTTGGAATGGTAACAAATATAGATCTCTTCCAGTCAGTTGGCCAGGTGGTTGTTTCATTTCTTGGTACAACTTGGTGAGCACATCCAGGGCAGCATCTGTTTGCTAAAATACATCAACTGGCATGCCATCAATTCCTGGGCCTTGTTTTTTTCCAATTCTTTCAGAGCAGCCTGGACTTCTTCCTTCATCACCACAAGCTCTTGCTTATACGTTGTTTCATGAATTTCTTTTGTCTGCCAATTCCTTTTGGTACAATGACTATATACTCTTTTCCTCTTCTTTCAATGCTTCCTGAAGGCTTGCATTTGTTGTTCAGTTCCTTCAGCTTAAGACATGCTGAACAATGAAAGAATCCTTTCTTTTACTTTTCCATAATTTTTGACTCATGTACTTATAACTTTTTAGTCAAATTTGTGTCTTCTAGGTGGCAACACCCCCATGATACATCTTCAAGGATATGAACATGTACGGCCAAGCACAATCAATAAGAGTGCATCTAAATTCCAAAATCAATCTCCATAATAGTCTATGTGTTTCCTACTACCAAAGGGGCCCTTTAGAGTAGTGAGAGAAGATCTTCACCCTGAAACCCACAGCGTCCCTTTTCAGCAGGAAGTAGCTAAGAGAATACGCCATCCCCTTTTCCTTATGAATCAGGGTGAAGTCTCTCTCAGGGAGGAGTGATAGGGAATGGCAAAGGACACACCGACAAAGGAGATTAATCAGAACTGACTTTGACAAGCACTGTGGCAATTGGACAATTAAAACAGACATTCGGATGGTGAGGAAGAAGAGCAAACTGGGGAGGAGGGTAGAGAGAATGGTGCAGCAATGAAGGAATGAAAACCTAAAATCCCTGTAAATGTTCATTAAAACTAATAAAATTTAATTAAAAAAAAAGACATGCTGAACAAGTTCAGCCCCTCTGATTTTCTAACTCCAGCTCTGTGCACATTTCATTATATTATTTTGTCTTCCCTTGATGCCCTTTGAAATCTTCTGTTCAGCTCCTTAATTTTCCCCCTTTGCTTTGGCTTCCTGGCCCTCTAGTGCAATATTCAGAGTTCTTTCTAACATCCATCTTGATCTTTTCTTTCTTCTCTTTGTATTGACTCCCTATATTCTTCCTGGATGATGTTCTTGTATCCTCCTACACCTCATCTGGTCTTCGCTCATTAGTGTTCAAGGCCTTAAAACTGTTCCTAAGATGGTTATGAAATTCAAGTGGGATAAACTCAAGATAAAATTTTGGTTCCTGTGAATTTAATTTTCCTTAGCTTTAGCTTGAATTTGCATATGAGTAGTTAGTGGTCTGTTCCACACTCAGCACCTGGCTTAGTTTTCACAGCTGATATTCAGCTTCTCCAGTAATTCCTTCCACAGATGTAATCGATCTGATTCCTGTGCATCCCATCAGGTGAAATCCATGTGTATAGCCTGCATTTATGCTTCTTATTAAAAGTATTTGCAATGAATAAATTGTTGATTGTATAACATTTTATCATTCTATCTCCAGCTTCATTTCTGTCTCCAAGTCCATGTTTTCCATTTACTGATTCTTCTTCTCTGTTCCCAACTTCTGCATATCAGTCATCCATTATTATTAATGCACCTTGACTGCATGTAGGTAATACAAAACTATCTGAATTCTATCCACTTCCCATTCCTACCTTACCTAAACATTCCAGTACTTCAGTAACACAAAGCTGTTAGCCACTCTTTGAGAATAACATAGTGTTGCATACTCTTTTCACTGTCTGGAAGCCCACCTGCATTTGTAAACTCTCACTAACCTTCAAGACATAGCTCAAACTTTTTCATGGAAGTTTCTCTTTTACTCTCACTGACAACTCTATAATTCCATTTTCCCTACTCATACAACTCTTATAGGAATACTGGGCTGTGCTTGTTGTTTTTACCACCTACTTTTCCTCTTACTATGCTCCTAGGAATCCAAGGACAGGATCTTCAGCATTCTAGACATACCAAGGTTTCTGACACAAAAGAATCAACATAAAAATAAGAGTTGATTCAGATTCTTTTATTTAATAGTAAGATTGCTGGACCACACGTAATCCTCAAGGTAGTACTAGGATGGATAGATTTCTAGTCAGATAATAAGAATTAGAGATTTAGAAAATATTTGGGAAGTTACAGAGATTTATAAAAATTAAGATTTCATTAAATAACTGAGAATATAACTAACAAATATGTAGTCTCGTAAGGAGATTTTTTTTAAAAGGACATGTCAATGTATTAAAGGCATATTATTTTAAATACGAAAGTCTTCAACTGATAATAACTTAGATCATGTTGTGTGGACTCGGGTGACCACGCGTGTTATGGAGCGGACTGCCTTGCAGGGTTTTCTTGGCTAAATCTTCTCTCATAACAGGTCATCAGGCTGTCTTCTTTGGAGGTACCGTGTGGTTAGTACTCACTGCAATGTGGACACTACCCAGCCTCCTAATTTCTAGCATAGTTATTATTTGCACAATCATTTTCTGAGAATCTTAAAACTATGAAATGTTAGAATGAGAAAAGAGTTTGTTGTTGTTGTGTGCCATTGAGTTGGAACTGACTCACAGCTGACTCTCCAGGGGATTTTCCAGAGGCTGCAAATCATATAGAACGAGTTTGCCCATTTCCCCCTGCATGGCAACCGGTGGATTTGAACCACTTGTATCTGAGGTGGCAGCATAACGCCTTACCCTCTAGGCCCCAAAGCTAGAGAAGAGTTTAGAGTTCTCTTAATTAAATTACCTTCATTTCACAGTTAAGGATAGGGATCTACAGAAGTTTACTTACTAGAGATCACAAACTTGTGAGAGAGACTGGAACCTAGACATTCCATTACACTAGTGCACTTTCTTTAGCACAGGATAGGACAGGGTCTAGATCTATTGTTCATAGGGCTGCTATGAGCTCCACTTGACTCTAAGGCACCTAACACCAACAACTTGAAAAGAGAAATCAGTTCTTCTCCTCATTGCTTACCAAAGCACTTGCCCAAGCTAATTACTGATTAAAGAGAACAAATCATTTTACATTGAAATTAAACCTCTTGACTTTTTAAATTTATCTTTTCTACACATATTAATACACTATTTTGTTATTTTTCAAGTTCTTAATAAGCAAAGCTTTAAACATAAGTCTGAAGCAAAATACTTAACTAAATAATTAACTCTGCTAGAATAATTGGTAAACTTCCTTTGATTTTTTAACATAACAAACTCAAACACTCAGTACCTGAATGTGCTCTTTTGTGATCAGCCAAGGCCGGTGTGCTAGCAGCTTATTTATTTCATTAAGGTTTTTCAGTCTTTGTGGTACATATTCCAAACCATTCAACCACTCAGCCATACCTCCGGTCTTTAAAAATTCATCCACATGCATGTTTATTAAGTAAGAACACTGATGTCTAGCTGCAGCCTAAAAGACACAGAAAATGAATTTGTTGATAAAAACAATCATGGTATAGCCTTAAGCCATTTGTTTCTAAACAAATAATATATATTGCATTAATAATGTTTATAGCCAATTCAGTTACAATGTGCATAAGCAAAAAGTCTAGTTGCAGCTAATTGCCTTTCACATTGAATTTGGTGTAGGTCAACCCAGAGTTCAAGTACCTTTTTCATTATGGTGAATGGTATCTATGCTGCTTAAAGCACCATAAAGGCTCAATGACTTGCATTCCACCAATACAGAAGTTGAGCTAGTTTGAATACTTTCTTCTTCACTTTATTTTAAGGCAACTGTGATTCCAGTTATACCTTATTAAACTGAAATGGAACCTCACTGACTCATCCCTCCTGTGCAGTCAGAATAGGCCTGGGTACTAACAATTTGGTAAACTCATGCATAGTCATATTTAACTCTCCTTTTGTCAAGCCTGCATCTCACTGAAATAGTATTATTTTATTCTTCCTGTTTGTTATGTCTTGTTTCTTTTTTAGTTTATGGTCATTCTAAGTCTTCTTTCAGGCTTATTCGCATCAAATAAAATTATGGTCTTAGTCAACTCTATCATTCAGTAAAACACATGATGTTATTAAGACCACTTTTATATAACATTTCAATCAGTGAGAGCATAAAAAGAGAAGTCAAACTGATAAAAGCTAACTCTCTAACTCTGGGCCACCCGTTTGTCTACTTCTCTAACCTCTCTAAGTATACAACACTTTCATCATGTTCTCTCTTGTCTTTTTCTCCAGTAACAGCCCAAAAGGAGCACTGTTTCTTCTTCCCTAATTCTTACTTTATATTGTCTCAATTTATAATTCTCTCCTTTCAAAAATAACACTAGTTAACTTGTTTATAAAAGCACTATTCTCAGAAGAATTTTCATTTAAGAATTCTTCTCTTATCCAGATTCTCCATTGGTGCTGACTGATATTTTCCTCTTATTTGGCCAAATTAGTGATATTCTTCATGTACTGTATGACTAAGTAAAATATCACAACCAAACTGTTTTTTTTATTAATAATAAAAACAAGACATCAAAAGTAAAAAAAAACACTTGTGGGATATTATTTTGGAGCCTACAAACAGCTTCCATCATAAAAGATTAAATACGGAAAATGTATTTAATAAACATGGAATGGAAAACATTCAGTACATCAAGCGGCTTACAGCAATATGTATTCCAGGAGAATGGCAGGGAAAAAGGCATAACCTCCTTCAACTCTCACTTCCATAAGATTAAACTCTGCTCTACTAACTTTTACACACACACACACACACACACACTCTCTCTCTCTCTCTCTCTCTCTCTCTCTGGCAGGAAAAGAGAAAACACAGGAAAAAGTGAAAAACAAGTACCCACCATGATTGCAATATAGTGCCTGTAAGGTAGAGGAAGGGGACCATCCATGCGCAACATGTAAAACTGGCTCCTTAAAAATGACTCCAGGTACTGAGTGTGCAAACTCATGACCTGGGTAATGTTGTCCAGACGACCGGAAGTAGAGTATTCTTCTACAAGAAAGTTAGTACGTTCATCTACTGTGTTTGCCTGGACAACCTTAAAACCAAGGAACATAAACCAAAATTATTCTGGAGTAGTAAACACATCCTTAGTTTACATAATTTATGCCACTATTGAAGCAAATGGATGTTCTTTTGACATTAACAGGCACTGAAATTATGCAGTTGCTCATATTAGAAACTTGGAAACTTGGAGGACATCCACTTCCTAAACATGGCTCCAGAAACTCTATGCACTTTGATAAATGTTGATAGTTGTAGAGTGGCTTCAGGCCTTCTGTTCTTAGGGTTGCTATGAGTCATGCTTGACTCGAAGGAAATCAACAACAACAACAACAACATATCAGAGACAGCAATAAAAAAGAAAACAGCATTCATTTTTGGCTCTGATACTACAATTTATTAAACAACAAATGCCAAATTATCAAACATTGTACATAGCCATGAAATTGGAGACACAGGCTTTTTTGACAGACACACAGGCAGATAGGCAGATTTTCAGGACTGACTTGCCTGGCCACTGTCACAGTAATTTCTGGGGAGGCAACACCAGTAGCAGATTCAATTTTATCTTAACAGTTTATGAAGACAATTAATCACATTATTTTTAGAAAAATATTTTCAGTATGATTCTTTGTTTTATCACTCAACATTAAGGGGAAGAAAAATCTTTCTGATATTTTGCTAGGGATGAACGAAGTAGGATAATCTGTAGAAAAGTGTTAATTGAAAAATTAATAAGGACAAAAGAATATTGTCATTCTTATTTTGAGCTTATCATATTAATTACCAGAAACAAGGTAAGTTATTAAAAAGGATAACCTCCATCCGAGGAAATAAAAAGCATTTTCTCAAAATCAGATTATTCATATATAGTGTCATGCACAATGACATTTTGTGGACATCAACACCAAAAATTGGCTCTGAAGGTGTTAAGAGTTTATTAACACCTTGAACAAAGACCCAACTCTGGGAATTAATGGGAATGAGTTGAATAGTTCCATATTTTACTTCAGCTCATTACAAAACCAAGCAAATATTTAAGTTGCTTATTTCCTCCTTTTCTGTCTATTATATTGACCAAGATAGTAGTTAAAAATGTAAGATCTACTGGAACTAAATATAGCTAGGGGAGAATATGGTTTTTGTCTTGCTTTCATTAGTAGAACTTTCCCCCATTAGATGCCTAGAATACAGTTGTTGTATGCAAGCAAGTCCAGAGTTGACACTCCAGCCAGTTTTAAGATGCTGTGAATCACGTGGGAGCAGACTCCCCACCTTTCGCCTGTGGAGCTGCTGGTGGATGTGAACCACATGTTTTTCTGGTTGGCAGCACAACTCCTTACCATTAGGCCACAGGAGCTCCCTTAGAAAAATACATTGGTAAAATCTTATGATCTAATAGTGACGGATCCTGCAAACTAGATAATGTTATGTGTTGACAAGGTGGAACCAACTCATAGCTGCAAACCAGATTATTGCCAAATACGTGTCGTGAAACTAACTGTATTTTGGCGTTTTTACAGATGTATTAGGTAACCACTCCAATAAGACCAGTGCCTCGTTACATGAGAGAAACAGGAATAAACCAAATAGTTTCTCTAAAGGGTATACACCCTGAGATAGGTTGTTTTTCATGAGATCTAGAAACAATATCACTAAACTAGATTTGTCTACACTTTCATGTAAGAGGTAAGGTCACCAAAAATGTGGTGTGAAGATGAAGGAAGTACTGACTCTAGAAATGATCTGACATGCCTTGTTCTAACCCTACTGGTCCCTTCTTTTATGCTTGGCATGTAACAGGCACTCCATTAATATGTGTTTGTTAACTTCAGAAAAATAGAGGGATGATCTTGTTCCTTTAAGACAAATGATAATTTTGCACATGAAAATGCTCTTCAAGATGAATGAACAGCTCCCTGAATCTCTACTTTAGTTCAAACCAAACCTATCTGAGAGGCTCTTAGGAATCTAAAAGGTCCTATACTGCTGTGTGCCTTCATAGAGATACAGTGTCAAAGATCAGGCATAAACCTTTCAATGTCTACATACTCCTGTGTGTCATTTTACATCTCCCTTTTGTGCATTTAGGAGCTATGATGGAGCAGCAGTTCAGTGCTGGGCTGCTAACCCAAAGATTGGTAGTACTCATCAGCTGCTTTGAGGGACAAAGATATGACCACCAGCTTCCATAAAGCTTGATAGCCTTGGAAATCCCATGGGGAAGTTCTGCTCTGTCCTAAAGGGTAGTTATGAGTCAGAAATGGCTAAATAGCAGTGAGTTTTGGTTTTGCTTCCTTTCATTTACTATGTTGATTCCCCACCCCAACAAAAGGGTACCAGATTATACTGGAGATCCTGTAACATGCTGTCAAATCTAAACCTGAGAGCCATGGGGCAGGAGTAACTCCTAGTGATGTAATGGCATGTCTTATGCAGCAGGCTTAGTTGAGAAATGTTTTTATTTCAAAATATCTTTTCTCAGCACATATTTAGCTTAAAATAGCCATAAGAACTGGCCATTTAAAAACTCAGAAACCTTTAGGTTGACACTAAATTTTACTACTTTCAGCAGCTTTGTTCAAGAAGTTATGACTAAAATCAAAGGTGGCTAAATTTATATATTTTAAATCTTATGGTATTACCTAGCTTTCAATCAGTAAGACAGATCATTAAACACTCAAAGTTCTAAAGGAAGTTGACAAGAAAATACCTCTGTGGTTTTCTAACATATAACAAATTCAAGAACAAGAGAGTTTTCTCCTTCTAAATTAAAAATAGATATATTCTTTAAGTAATTCTTTATCATGATCTGTTTGTTTTAAGGCAGAAGAACTTACTTCCTTCTCTGGAATAAAGGCACTTGGTCCTCGTGTCATAGGTTGAGATACTCTGATTCTTTTATCCTGTTTGTAAAAGAAATATTTTATGCATTAATTCTAAGAAAAGTTAAACTGATAGATACTTATGCTAATGTGCTGAAATAAACAATCTGTGAAACTGGCGGCTCTGAGGAAGTGAGATGGGCAATCTCCTCCTGTGCCAACGATAAACTTGAAAGCCCAATGGATGGTCAGCTCTCAGTTGTAACTCTCAGGCAATGGGACAGAGAAAGTGCTGGGTCTTGGAGAGTCCACAGGACAACTGCATGGGTGGACTAATAGTCAAATGCCTTCCAAGCTCCTACCACAGTGCTGGAGTGAGAGCTGTTGTTAAGGGTCATCGAGTCAACTACAACTAGTAGTGACCCTGTGAATGAAGGATCTGAACGCTACCCTATCCTGTGCCATCCTCATCATCTATGACATACTCAAGCCCACCATTACAGTCACTGAGTCAAGCTATCTAGGTGAGGGTCTTACCCTCCTTTGCTGACCCTTCACCTTTCCAAGCTTATATCCTTTTCCAAAGACTGGCCCTTTCATGCCCACACTGGCTGCACCTTATACAAAGCATACTTGTTTGTCCTTTTGACAGTTCATGGGATATTCAGCAATACACCACAACTCAAAGACAATGATTCCTCTTCTGCCATCCATATTTACTGTCCAACTTTCAGACACATAGCAAGTAGCTGAAAATATCAGGGTTTGTGTCCAGTGCCCCTTAGTATTCAAAATGACATTTTTGCTCTTCAGCTCTTAGGAGAGACCCCTTACAGCAGATATCCCCAATGGTACGTTTCTTTTTATTTTCTGGCTGCTGGTGTTGATTATGTATCCAATCAAGATGAAAGCATAGACTATTTATATCTCTTCTCTATTTATCATGATGTTGCCTATTGGCTGGGTAGTAAGGATTTTTGTTATCCTGATGTCAAGATGTAATCCATATTGAAGGCTTTCTGCAGCAGGCATTTCAAGTTTTTCTCACTTTCAGCAAGCAAGGTTATATCATCTGCATAATGCAGATTACTGATGAGTCTTCCTTTGATTCTGATGCCAAATTCTTCATACTGTCTAGGTTCTCAAATGATTTGTTCTCTGCACACAGACTGAATAGGTTTAGAAAAATTACACAGCCCTGATGCATCTCTTTCCTGATTTTCCATGCAGTGTTTTCTTGCTCTGTTTTATGCCACAGATTCATGGTCTAGGTAGAGGTTTTGCATGAGAACAATAGTGTCTGTGATTCTCATTCTTTTCCATGTTAGCCAAAATATCAGACAAATTCAATAAATCAGAGTCAATAAAACATAAATTGATATCCTTCTGGTAGTCTCTGCTGTCAGCCAAGATCCATTTGACATCAGCAATAATATCTCTTGTGCCACAGCTTCTTCTAAATGCAGCCTGAATTTCTGGCAGTTCTCTGTTGATGTACTATTCTTGCTGTTTTTAAATGATCTTCAGCAAGACTTCACTTGCATATTATAGTAATGATATTATTTGGTAATTTCCAAATTCTGCTGGATTTTTTTTTTCTAAATGGGAACAAATATGGATCTCTTCCAATCAGCTGGACAAACAGCTGTCCTCCAGATTTTCTGGCATAGCTTGGTGAGCATGTCTAGGGCTGGTTTGTTGAAACATGCCAACTGGTATACCATCAATTTCTGGGGCCCATTTTTTTTAAATACCTTCAGTGTATCTTCATCTTTTCCCTTTATCACTACTAGTTCTTGATCACACTCTATTACCTGAAATGTTTCTGTATGTTCCCCAAAGTGTCATTTCTCCCAGTCATGTTATACAACTTCATAGTTTTCCTCCTACATTCAACATGACTGAAACCACTAACTTCCATAATTAAGTAATTTCTAAGAGAAGGTTAATACACAGACATTAATTTGGAAGTTAACTAACAGGTTAAAGCTAAAGAAGAGTAATCCCTAAAAGAGCTTACATGACATATGTGTTTTTTTTTACCCCTTTTGGGAAAAAACAGCAGTAAGTATATTTAAGATAAAGTTTTGAAAGTTTAGGAAAATATAAAAGTTGGAGAAAAGGAGATTAATTTAATTGTTGTTAGTTGCCATCAAATCAACTACAATTCATAGCAACCCTCTGAACAATAGATCTGAACCTTGTCCTACTATGCAACATCCTCACAATTTCTGACACGCTCAAGCCCACTGTTACAGTCTGTATCAAGCTATCTTGGTGAGGATCATCTTTTTCTCTGATCCTCCACCTTTCCCAGCATGATTATCTTTTTCCAAGGATTAATCACTCCTGACAACATGCCCAAAGTATGCAAGACAAAGTATTACTACCTTTGCCTCTGAGTGTATCGCTTTGATTGCACTTGCCCCAAGACAGACTTGCTCTTATGGCAGTTCAGAATAAGTCAGTAGTCTTTTCCAATACTACATTCAAAGTAATTGATTCTTCTTCATCCTAATCTTCTTGTTGTTAAATGCCATCAAATATGACTCACAGCAACCCTATGAACAGCAGATCTGAAACCTGTCCAGTCCTGTGCTGTTCTCATTGTCTCTGATGTATTTGCTCCCATTACTGCAGTCACTGTGTCAACCCAACTCATGGAGGGTCTTGCTGTCTTTTTTTTTTTTTTTGGTCTTGCTGTCTTTTGCCAATTTGAAGGCATTGATCCTTTTTCTATCATCCTAATTTAGACAATGGAAAATATGGTAATTTTTTTTCTACTTGCTACTATGACTAACCTTGAGAAGAGTGGGAATCTCAGAACATTTAGTTGAGGTCATGCGAAACCTATACTTGGACAAGGAAGCAGTAGTCAGAACAGAGCAGGGAAACCCTGTATTGGCTCATGATCAGGAAAGGTGTGCATCAAGGATGCGATCTACCTCCATTTCTTTTCAATCTATATGCAGAACAGATCCTTCAGGACGCTGCACTTTATGAGGAGAAATGAGGCTTCAGGACTGGAGGAAGACTCATCAACAACCTGTGTTATACAGATGACATAATTTTGCTTGCTGAAACTAAAGATGACATGAGGTGTTTGCTATAAAAGGTCAAGGACTACAGTCTTCAATATGGATTGAAGCTCAACATCAAGAAAACAAAGATTCTCACCACTGGCCCAATTGGCAGCATCATGATAGATGGAGAAGAGATTGAGATTTTTGATAACTTCAGCTTTCTTGGCTCCACAACCAGTATTCTTTTTTTTTTTAAATTCTGATTTATTTACAAAGCACAATCAATATTCTTGGCATCAGTGGTCAGGAAATCAAAAGGCGAAATGCATTGGGAAAGTCTGCTGTCAGGGACTTCTCTAGAGTACTGAAGAGCAGTAACATTAGTATGTAGACTAAGGCATGCCTGATTCAAGCCATGGTCTTTGCAATTATTTGCTATGCATCTGAGAGCTAGACAAAAACTAAAGATGATAGAAGAAGGATTGATGCCTTTGAGTTGTTGTGCTTCAGAAGAGTGTTGAATATACTGTGTTCTGCCAGGAGAAAAAAAACAGGTCTGCCAGGAAGCTCCCTGCAGGCTAGGATTTTGAAGCTCCATCTCACATATTTTGGGCACGTGGCCAGCAAGGACCAGTCCTTGAAGAAGGACATCATGCTTGGAAGGGTAGAGGGACAGACAGCATAGGAGAAGAAGACCCATGATGAGATGGATTGACTCTGTGACTGGAGAAATGAGATTAGGTCTGTTGGAGATGATGAGATTGGCTCAGGATACAGTACATTTCAGAGCTAATGTTTACAGGGTCGCTATGAGTCACAGGTAACTCAATGGCACATAATAACATTCTATTAGTATAAAAACTGGTGGAGTAGCAATGCTTCACTTGAGTGCCAATATAGTTTCTTTTAGGTTATCAAGGTTTTTTGTTAAAATTTTTTATGGAATATTTTAATGGCTTCATTTAAGTGTGATTATTTATAGCCAGGAAAATTCTGATGATGGGATAGCTTCTTTCTCTATAGGCGTGTTTAAGAGCAGGAATAGTCAGAGATATCTCATGCTTTCAAACCATTCCTAGCCAAGTAGATGGTGGAGGAAATGGTTACTTCATTTTCTTTAATAAAAGTAACTATCTAACATTCCAAAAAAAGGATCCCCCAAAGGTATAAAATAAAAATGTGGACTATGTCATGGGATATAAGGATTGAGTAGGAAAATGGAAAAATAAAACCAAACCAAAAAAAAAAATCCATCTACTGGAGAACATCAAATTAAATTTTGGTTGCTACAAAAGTCTCCTAATGAAATTTCCAAGTTGAAGAAGTAGCTCTAGGTGACTCTGTACCTAAAGATGTAAAAAGCTATTCAACCTGATCTTTTCTCCTGAACAATGCTAATTAAATCAAGTCTCAACCAGTCAATATAGCTGCTAATCAGCAGCCCACAGTTAAAACTTCTTCCAAAAATAAATGTTGAGAATAACTAATGGAGTCAGTTAAGAGTCTCTCTCAGGATTATGTCCTAGAATTACACAAAAGTAAATTGATGCCTCTGAATTGTAGTGTTGACAAAGAAGATTGCATATACCATGGACTGCCAAAAGGAACTAACAAACATGTCTTAGAAGTATAGCCAGAACTTGGAAGCAAGGGTAGGGAGACTTCATCTTAGCTACTCTGGGCATGTTCTCAGAAGCGACCAGGCCCTGGAAGAAGCCATGCTAGGAAAAATAGAGGGTCAGTGAAAAAGAAGTCATCCCTCAACCGAAAAACTGACACAGGGGTCCAACTCTAGGCTCAAATCACAAGAGTGACTGGGCGGATGGCACAGGATCGGACAGTACTTCCTCTTGTTGGACAAGGCATAGCTATGAGTTAGAAATTACTCTATGCCATTTAAAAAACCAGGAACAGTGGGGACAAGAACAAGGATCAGACAGATACAAATGCTTATAATTTCAGCACATGATAGGTATAACAAGAGACTTACATACAAAGTGTGTGAGAAGACACCATTTTAACAATATTTTATTGCTGAATATGTAAATTATGTAAAAT